ATATATTTTTTGTTTTATATTTTTACAATTTATTCACCCTATATTATTGATCATATAATCCTTAATACACAGAAAGAATCATATATCAAGACATCTAAGTATCGTCTCTTAATATATCACAAAAGATGTTGCAGAACCCCTTTGTTAATATCAGTCCTCCTTAATTATACAAAAGTTTTAAGAGGGAGGACTCCTTTAAGTCTATTTTGAATCAGTGCTCAGCCTTCCTCCAACAGAGGTCCAGGTATCCTCCTGTTTCGGTGTCTTCCTCGGGGAGTTCAACAGATCTTTCCAAGCACAAGGTTGCCAAATACCAAAATATTTCACCAAATTTTTCAAGGAACGCTGCAAAAAGTCTCTCTTAGTGAGCTCAAAGCTTCCTCCAAAGTGAAATGACAAGGGAGTCGTTACCGGCTAAATATCAGGAGACACTTCCTGACTGTCAGAGTGGTTGAGCAGTGGGACGGACTGCCTTGGGAGGTGGTGGAGGCTCCTTCACTGGACGTTTTCAAGCGGAGGAGGCTGGACGACCATCTCTCTGGGATGTTGTAGGGCTCTCTTTCGGCTCTGCTCCTGCAGAGTGCAGGGGGTTGGACTAGATGACCTGCAAGGTCCCTTCTGACTCTAACATTCTATGATTCTATGATTCTATGAATTGAAGTCTCTCTCCTCCAGGCTTTATTTGCACACCGCCAGGCGTTTCCCAGCCTAGATGGTGGCAAGGGGGCTAGGAAGGACACCAGACAACCCTAGTTGCCATCTCCAGGTTAAGAAATTCCTGGAGATGTGCAGGCGGAGCCTGGGGAGGGCAGAGACATCAGTGGGCTACAATGCCATAGACGACATCCTGCCAAGCAGCCATTTGCTACAGGGGAACTGATTTCTTTTTTTCTTTCACGAGATCAGTTGTCACTCCAGGCCCCACCAGGAGCTGGCAACACGAAGAGGGGCGTTCTCGGAGTGATGAAATGTCTGCTCAGATATCATATCCCACTTTTACTGTGACTCAAGGCATCTTACAAATCATACTGAAAATCATAATAAAGGTAAAGGTTTCCCTTGCTCGAAAGCCAGTCGAGTCCGACTCTAGGGTTGCGGTGCTCATCTCCGTTTCAAAGCCGAAGAGCCAGCGCTGTCCGAAGACGTTTCCGTGGTCATGTGGCCGGCACGACTAAACACCAAGGCGCACGGAACGCTGTTCCCTTCCCACCGAAGTGGTCCCTATTTATCTACTTGCAATGTCTTGCTTTCGAACTGCTCGGTTGGCAGGAGCTGGAACTAGAGACGGGAGCTCACTCCGTCATGCGGCACCCGGGTCTCAAACTGCTGAACGAATGACCTTCCAGCCTGCAGTTCAGCGTCTTAACCACTTGAGCCACCGCAGCTCCTGAAAAGCATAATAGGGGTGTGCAAAAAAAAAATAAATCTATTTGTTCCTGCTCCATTATAGCCTACGGGGACCTGATAGGCTATTATGGGCCTGATAGGCTATAATGGAGAATTGATGCGGGAGTATTTGGGGCTCTGGGGGGCCCCCTGTTTTTTGAGGTAGAGGCACCAAATTTGCAACATAGCTGCTGGTGCCTCTCCACACACACACACACCAAGTTTCAAAAAGATTGGACAAGGGGGTCCAATTCTATGGGCCCAAGAAAGAGGTCTGTTTCCTGGTGGAGAGCTGGGGAGACAGGCAAGTTCTCGCCGCTTTCTGCATCCTGAGTCTTTAAAGAGAAGAGAAGAAGATTCTAGAATCGTTGCAGTAGCAAAACACTCTTTAAAGAAGGCCAGGGGCCTCGTTTGGCCAAAGATCAAACAACTCAAATGGAGTCCCTCGGAATTTATAACATCACCGTAATTATAGATAGTTCGCAACCCCCCAAAGGGTGCCCCAGAACCCGCTACCCGAAATTTGCAGCCGAATGCCCTGGCAGGACCTTGAAGCCGCCCGCACTCGGTGGCGGCGCTCCAGTGGAATTCCTCTCCGGTTTCCAGACGCTGAGCAGAAAAGATTCGTTGTGTCTTCAGGGTTCTCTCCAGAGGGCTGGAAGCACCGCTGTTTACAAGGAGGACGAAAGACAAATCCAGCTTTTTTGGAACCGTGAAGGTCCATCTGATTATTTTTGAAGGCCGTTAAAGAAATGGAGCTGCGGTGGCTCAAGTGGTTAAGACGCTGAACTGCAGGCTGTGGAAGGTCGGTAGTTCAGCAGTTCGAGACCCGAGTGTGCCGCATGACGGAGTGAGCTCCCATCTCTAGTTCCAGCTCCTGCCAACCTAGCAGTTCGAACATGACCACGGAAACGTCTTCGGACAGCGCTGGCTCTTCGGCTTTGAAACGGAGATGAGCACCGCAACCCTAGAGTCGGATTCGACTTGCTTTCGAGAAAGGGAACCTTTACCTTTAAAGAAATGGTAAACCGTCTTGGGGGTGGTTCTGGTACCAGTTTGGGTTGTCCTTTCGAGGCTGG